AGTGGACAGGTACGGTTGGACTCGATGATCCAAAAGGTCTTTTCCAACCAGGTGATTCTCTGGTTCTATGAAATATGCCTCTGATTTTCTAATGATGTATGCATATATGGAGACATAGCCAGTTAGGCTCCAATTTGTTTCTGATAGCACACATGTAAATTTTAATACTTCACATTATTTGAAAATTACCTACATTTGTTTAAAAAGTTAAAATTGTTTAAAATTTAATTTAGATTGCCTTGCATTCTGTTTTCTTTTGTTAACATGAGTTGTACCAGGAATGTTCGCTGTTGTTTAAGAACAGGCATATGACACTCCCAGAAAACAGCTCACTCATGAAGACCTAAAGGGCTGTGCGAGTGAAAGTGATGGTGCCATATTCTCATGGTTCTCTAATCCTGTTTCCTACTATCCTGCAGAAATATCTGCAGTTTGAGTTGCAGTACTTCTCTGTCACGTATTTTGGTGTGGTATTTGGGGTTTGGAATTTTAATATGAAGAGCTAACTAGTATCTTTGTAGGCTGTATCACTGGATGCGTGCTGCAGGATAAGCTTAAATTTTTAAAAGAAACATGTACTGATAGTTGTCTGCTGAGCTTCTGTGACATTTTCTTTCCCTTAAGTGCCCACAAAAATCACAGTTAAACGCTGTCTGGTGAAGCCTACCCAGAAGCAAAGAAGCCTGGTAGTTTGAGGAACCCTAATTCCAAATTGGATTGCTCATGTTTTGCTATGAATGTGGTACATAGGATCGTATTTTGTTCCGGCTGCATTTTACACAAAGAATATAAATGTAATTTTACCAATCTCATTACAAGGTAGTTTAGCTTGTAATGTCAAAAGGCTGGAATTTTAGAAATACTATAATTTAGGTTGTTTTTTTCCGTCTTCTGCCTGATATGTCTCTGTATTTGTTTTGGTACAGTCTCTAAAGTCTCTATCTATTTAATATAAATAATCCAAATAAAATATTGGATATTGAGTTAATCACCTGTTATGTTATTTTCAGAGACAATTGTCAGTATCAGTATTTCTTAGATACTAAAGTCCTCCAAAACCCTTCCTACAGAGGTGTGTGTTTTTCTTCCTTTCTTTTTTCCCAATTTTTGTTTTTTTTCTTGAAACAATTCCAGAAAATTAATCTCTTAATGTCTTGCTAAAAACATTGAAATTGCTCTGAAGTCCCTTTCGTTTCTTTATTGTCTCCTAAAAAGGCTCTTAATGAAGTAGAAGAGGAAGCATCACCAATCTATCAATCAGAAAATGGACACCGTGACTATCTGAATTTCAGATCCAGCATCAGTTCTGACAGGTCAGTACAAATATATCCATTCAGGTTTCAACCTTCTTGACACTGGACATAGATGGAGTTAAAAGGCTGTTACATGGGTATAGTTAAATTTCTTTTTCTGTTTTCCCCCTCCTCCTCCTTTCCTGACCTCAGAATTCTAGGAAGATCGTTCGTTGTAACATTGAGACTGGAAATGAATGTGAGCAGGGATCTCACCTGAGCAGTTATAGATATTTTAAAGAGCTCTTTCTAGACTCTACAGATAATCTAGAATCATGCTATTATCCTGTTAAAATTCACTGTTATGCTTGTTTTGAACGTAGGCTGCTTCGGTTATTGAGAGAAGAAAATTCCTTGGTGAATTCTCCGTTGTGGGCTGAAAAGGATAGGAGAAAAACTGCCTTATCACAGGAATCAAATGTGCCTTTGACTCCAACAACTGTTTCTCCATCATTGGATCAGTCAGGTTGGACTTGCCAAATCACAGCCTCTCAGGGGTTGTTATTGGAATTCCTTTTCTGGGTGGGGGTGAGCGACAGAGATGTGCTAATTTGGCCAGATGAATTTCCAAACTAAAAAGCCAGCTCTTCTAATAAAATTACTTTATAACATAACTAAGAACATACCCAAAATATCTCATGTGTATATTTTATGTTTTGTTTTGTGTTTAAATCAGCCCTCAATGCTACCAGTGTAGTCAAGAGAATCCATTCAAGACTTCAGAATGAAGATGAAGAAGAGACCATAGACTCTGCTTACACTGTGAGACAAGTGTTGAACCCGAACTCAAGAAAACCAAAGCAAATGGCAGCAAAAAGTTTAGTACTTTTAAAAATAACATACCTCCCTTTGACTAAGGTCCTTAATAGCATAAAAAATGTAGATTGAAAGGGATCTTTGGAAGTCGTCGCAGGGCTAACTCTGAAGTTTGATTAGAGAGCCTTGTCCAACTGAGTCTTGAACATCTCTAAGGATGGACATTCCGTAGCCCCTTGTGTAGTGTATTCCCCTGTGTTCTGCACGTTTGTTGGCAAAGCAAAGTCCATAGGAATCTGGGAACCATAAATATCGCCCTTTGATGCTGCCCATTACTTCGCTAGCCATGGAATTCTCTCCTGTGCAGGGCTTTTCTGTTTCTGATACAGCTTTCTATTCTGTGCTGCACAGACTTCTAATGTATTTCAGTCCCCATATTCTACACACATTTGTATGTGGGGACTGACATCAGATACAAACTGTAACATGAAAGGATTGTTGTAAAAAGGTTGCTCACTAAATAGAGACCTGAAAGCAGCTGGTATTTTTCACTGGCTGTTCACTGGCAACCTGTTTCCATGCTTTTAACTGAGTAGGAGGAGAGTAAAAACAGGTGTCTAAGATAAAAGCAACAAACAATCATACTTGAGAGGTCCTAGTAATGGTGACAGAAAATGTGGGTTTTGATGATCTGAGAATAACTGGAATGACTGGGGATGTTCTCTGGTGGTCCATTTCAGCTCAGGGCAAGAGAGGGCCTCTCCTTTGATTTACTTCAATAAAAAATGTAATTTCATTGGTATTGCAAAGCTTTCTGTACAAGTTGAAATTACAGTGACACTTTCCTCTCCCGCCTCAGTGAAAAGAAAACAAGCTTCACAGAACTCTGCAAGACAGAGGAGAGATGATTCTCCAGCTAATTCAATCCCCATTGACCTTCGGAGGGACAACAAATACAGTCTAGATGTTCTCAACCGCATGATACATGAAGTGGAGCATGAATTAGAGGAATATGAGCGATGTACAGGTCGTGAGGTTCAAAAAACTGAGAGAAGTGAAGGCCTCACGGGGTTCACCTTGTCACTGGTGAACGCTCTCTGTCGTTTAATGCGCTACCTCAAAGAGGTGAGAAGACTTTGAATTGCTTCTGTAGAGTGAATGAAAAAGGGTATAAAGTTACTGTACAGATGTGCACTTTGGCCTTTCCTGGCTCCCAGTCAGTTTAGTTTGAAATCTGATTATCATTGCTTATTATTTGGATTGCATGCAATCAGGACTTGAAACTTCTCCTTTGCTAGAAACAGGTATCCCTAATGAAAAAGGAGGAGTTGACTGCAGTGAATAAGCCACTATTAGCAGAAAATACCAATTGAAATAGTTTTAAATTTGTTATTTAAATATGTTCAGAGTTGTAGCAGAATATTAACTACAGCCTTGTTTACAAATTAATTTTCTTCCTTTGCCTCACAAAGGTGATGCTATTGTCACTAGGGCATAGCGGACCTAAATCCTTAATTTTCTTTGAGGGATTCCTTGGCTCTCTTTTTCTATCCATAGCAGCAATGTCACCTTAAGCAAGAATGACCTGAAGTACTCACTATAGCAGTGCACATCTGGGAATTGAAGACTGTCTGTAAGCCATGTAGAACTTCTTTTTAAAAAATAAAATAAAAAAAAAATGTGTTTGATCTCATCTCTAATCCAGAGTTATTCGAGATGCAGCACTGGCTCACAGATTGATTTGGCCTATGTGAAATTTTAAACCAGATTATGGCAGTTCCTGCTCTCTTAATGGATGCAGCAGAATATATTGTCTGAATCCAAATGCTTTATTTCATAGCAAAGGCAATAGATTGCTTATGAATGTGGAACTGTCTTATTTTGGTTCCTTTTCAGAGTGTATAATAATTGAGAAAAAAAAAAAAGAAACCACCTGATTTAAAAATTGGAATAACTTTTTTTTTCTGTCTGGATGTATAACAACTTTTTCCTTGCCTTACCCTGTATTTAATCTATATGGAAGAATTTACTTTGATTAAGACCTGTCTCAGAAGCAAATGGTAAATAATCAGTTCGAGAGTGAAAAGCCACTACCATCAGAGGATGGACTTTCTCAGAGAGGTCTTATGTTTTAAAAGAAGTTAAGAACACTTGTTTTCTGTTAAAGTTGTAATACCAAAGCAGGGTATTAAATTTGTTTTTTTTGCAGTTAATGGGGAAGGATCTTCTGGACTTCCAGTAGAATATTTTCAATTTATTAGGAAAACATCCATTATAGCATCAAATTAGTATTATAAATATAATTGCAAGTGTCACCCTATTTACATTGTCTTTAATTTGTATTCCACAGGAGTGAGTTGTTTTTGACCCTCAGACTTCCTCCAAAATGACTCCACATATTCTTTCTATTTTTTTTTCTTTCTTAGTTGCTACTTTCTCTTTATGAATGTAACATTCACTGTGTCTTCAGAGCTTTTATACTATTCAGACAGAAGGCCCAGGAGTCTGAGCATTTAAGGAGACTACTTATTTTGAAAGATGTATGCTGACCCTTACTTGTATTCCCAGTTTTTACTGCGCACCCCTATGATGTTGTTTCTGCTTTAATAGATGTATTACCATTCCTTCCTTCCAGGAGTTAACTGTTGCTTGCAGAATTGCCTGCAACTTTTTGAGATTTACTACCTAAATTCATGAGTAGAAATATGCAGAAGTTGCTCAAGCTACAAAATATAGCTGATTGTATTCAGATTTGTTCAAGATAGACAATGTGCCTCCATAATCTTCGGCAACTTTTCTGCTTTTCAGGAAGCTTTAATTATAATTGGAATTTGAGAATTTGCTGTGAAGAATCACCGCTTGTCTGAATATTTCCTAAAACCTGGTCCCTGTGATGCTAGGGAGAAATCAAGTGGTCGTGTACACCAACTGTCTTGCCTAGCCAGGAGAGTTAGCAAAGTCCAGTGCCTGAATTATAGCTGGCAATGCATTTCAAGAAAGTGACTTTGCAGTGGATATTTAAAAAGCCTCTGATTTCAGGTAAACAAACACTCTTCAAGAGGTTTTGAAGCTTTTAGAAAGATTTCCTTCTGCAGTGGTCTATCTTAAATTAATAGATTAATAATATCTTTTGAGGGCAAAAGGTTCTTTACAGTAAGGTCTTTTGCTTCCTGCTCAAGTAGACTATTTAACAGATAAACCTTTTTGTCTTTTCTAATAAAATAGAATACATTAAGCCCTCTAGAACTTTTTCTCTGTCTGAGTGAAAACATTAGAAAGCAAGTATTTTCTCCCTTTTTTAGTCAAATTTGTCTTCATTAGTGAATTAAGGAAACTAAAGAATAGACACAAGTAGCACAGGATACAAACGAGCATCAGCACACCTGGAGTCACTTCATTACTACATGAAGATTCAATGACTTAAAAAACAGTATCCATGCAGAGAGACAAAGCTTCTAGTTACACACTGTGAAAAGATGTAAAGGCAGAAGAACAAGGATGTATCTACAGTGTTCTGGAGTAACAAAGAAGGAACAGTGAGTTCACTGACAGTTCTCAAGCCCCGAAAATTGGATTTGATTGTGAAAGTAACGAAGTCAATAGTGGGAAGAGCTATTACAGTATGATGTCATATGGACCTGTTCCTGTTTCCAAATATGAATCTGTATTGGTTTATAGTAAGATTTGAACTTTTTTTCCCTCTTTAGAGTGAAATGCAGCTACGTGAGAAAGAGGTGATGAGGCAGCAGCATGAGGAGATGATGAATGAACACAGAGAACTGATTGATGCTCTGACTGCAGAAATACTTCTAGTGAGGGAAGAAAACATTTCCATGCAGGTACTGAGCCCCCTTGCTCCTTGCCCATCAGGATGACTTGTTAGAATAATGAGTTGTGTTGCAAATATGGCCTGAGGTGCATTGTCTCTCATGTTCAAGAGATTTTGACAATAAACAGAAAGAAAATTACAAAATTGAATGAGGAGCCTGAGAATTGTAATAGCAGATATGAGGTGGGGGGAAGGCATGTTTGGAAAGTCATTATTTTATCTTAATTTACGTTGTTTAAAGCCTGAGAAAATGCTAGTTGCATGAAACTCAGCTTTACTTTGTAATTCTAAATATTTAAGCATCTTCTTCCACACTTGTATATTGTTAACACTACTGGAGCAGCAGAGTAGACTAGAGATAATACTACATTTTATTTGTTTTCAGTTTGCAGAGGGGGTAGATTTGTTCAATGGCTACATTTAGGAATGAAGCACTAAAGCAACCTGGGAGAGAAAGTGTGGTCATGAGTTAGGAAAAGGAAAACCAAATAATTTACTTGAGTCAGGAGAGGAAATAAATGAGAAACATAGAGACACTAATATTTAATACCTCACTGGAATCCTAGAGATTCATGCAGTGGTATTAAGAGGACAAATTTCTTTTCAGGGCTGTTTGTGGTATATAGTTTTCTAATTCATGTTGCTATAATAAATGCTGTCTCTCCTCTTCTGTTTTCCTTCTTCCTTCAGAAGCAGCTTCAGCAATATATGACAGTAACAGATGAACATCTGGTCTCTCTCACACAAGCATTTAAAAGTCTCCCTTTGGTGGAACCTAGAAGAGAAGAAAGTCCAAACCATTTTGGAATTGCAGGCAAAGGTTCAGTGAATGGCCAAGGTGTGTGCATGCATGTGGGAAGGGTGAAATGGGAGTTGTGGCTAGTTTGTCCCTGTAGTGGAGAATTTGATATTTAATAGATGTCTACTTGAATAAATACCTCTTGTGTGAGCATGAGTCTCACTTCTGGAAACTCATATGCCATGGGTTCTGCTGTAAGTACAAACGCTTTGCTACTGATTATTTTTAAACAGTATTATAGGTTGTATTCCATCCCCGCTGGCATCCTTCTGTCTGAATTAGGACTTCAAGATTAACCTTTTAGCCAAGTCTTGGGCTTGAGCTTTAAGTGATACATAATATATTATATTAAAAAAAAAAATCCGGGGGGAGTAGCCTTCACCCAATAACGTGGCTTACAAAGTCACGTTTATTCTGTGGGTCCTAAATAAACCAAATCAGGATCCCACCTTTCTGTTGCTGGGATCAAGATAGTACGAGATTGATTCTTCCGTGAGACACTGGAGGTCGCTGCTGACCAGAAACAGCAGCTGCTGAGGCTGTTCACTACCCAGGCAGAAGTCTGCTGCTCCTTGTTGATATTTGTGACTTGCTGTCACAGGTGAACGACCTGTTGATTGATATATAAAATAGACTCAGGCTAAGTTAAGCCAATAGCATTGATGGCCAAACTAAACAAACATGCTTTGCCTTGTACTTTTTACATTCTTTCACCATGGAGTTTTCTCCTGTCTTCCCCAATTGATTGCTTAAATGCATAATTTTTGCTCTCAAGGTCAGTAACTCCTTGTGAATCCCAAGATTCCTTGGAGCTACTTGTAGTCCTTAGTTAAACATTGTTTTTGTGGACATTTTTCTGATCAAAAACTTTCTTCCTGACTGTTTCTATGAGGTTCTCAGGAAGCAGCCACATACCCAATTCCTTTTTTGTGATTTATCCAGGCTTTGTAAAAGCAAACAAAAAAATCCTACGCCAAAATATATGACTCAAACAATCAGAAAAGCACCCCTCAAAAAGAAAAAAAAACCCCACACATTAAAAAAAAAATCCCAAACCCCAAACCTTCCGATACAACAACTCTGCAAGACTAGAGTTTTCCAAATCTTTTTTCCTTATTGGTCTCTTGTCTCAGGAAAAAGCATCTTCTGAGAGGAAAACTTCCTAAAATTACAAAAATATTTCTTCCTTCTCCTCCTTTTTCAGCAGGAGATCTCTTGTACGCTTAAGGCATCTGACTGGATGTGAAACATTTGAGGTAACTAGTTTTAGCACAGAAACCATGTATAAGCTAACATAGGACTTCTCTGGAGAGACAAGAGTGGCTGAGAGAGGAGTGGGGAACAAATCAGTAGCATGTGAGGAGGATACTTTGGAAGTGCAGTTCTGTGTAGTGTAATAGGGCAGGAAGATGTTTCTCATCTCTTGACAGGGTCACTGAATAGTGGGTGGCGGGTTTTAAGTTCAATCTCAGAACCACAAGCAGTATCTTATGTGAATAGCCTCTTCTGGCTCTTTGCCTTTGAAGGGTGCTTTTTGTCTCTTGCATTTTGGGATCATTGGGTACATTCTGCTCAGTTTTCCACTAACTTCTCTTCTGGGAACAAATGTTCTGAACAAAATTGTGAAGAGATAATTCAAAGATAGCGCTGATGGAGCAGTGGATGTAAGCATATTAAAATTACTGTGGTCTCATGGCTAACTACAGCTTTGATTTCATACTATGCATTTTGTGCCTCCCTGGTATGTTCAAAATAGATGGCAATGTAGACACAAGCTAGTTGTAGTTAAATACAGAAGATTAGGTTTTTTGGTTTTTTTTACTGAAGAGATGTCTGATTTGAATTAAGTTATTAAAAGATCATCAGAGAGCTTAAAAAAAGCTTTGAATTGTTTTCCACTCCACTGTTGTTGCCATCAGATTTGTAATGTAGGTTCATTAGGACAAGTGCATAGGCCTGCTTTTCTCAAGAGCAGGATACCAAATGCAGCTCACTGAAACACCTGATCCTTACAAGTCACGTGTCTGTAAGTCTTGTGCATGGGCTGCAAACAGATTTTACTAAAGTGTCTTGAAATTGTGAGGCTGCATGTAAGAGCTCTTCTTGCTCTAAAAGCCAGTGAAAATTTGTGTTATGCTCCAGTGAAAAAGTTCTGTACCCAGGGATCAGAAGGAAGTTAGCAGTATGTGGGGAACACACTCTATTGTGTTTTTTCAGATACCTGAACATAAAAGTTGTTACTGAGAATTTTCCTTATTGCCCTAAAATTCATTTATTCTCTTTAAAAAAAAAAAAAAAAAAAAAATCTGTTTCTGCTTTGTCTCTTTCTGTAGAAAAACCTGATTTGAGCTATTTTGAGCCCAAGACTGATGCGGACAACAGGGAAAATATGCTGAAATTCCCACAGGAAGAACTTCCTTTCAAGTTTGTCCAGAGGTCAAGTGCTTCAGGTGGTGTGGGAGCTGGTAGAAGCTTGCCATCTCACATCTTCCAGCCAGCTGTGCTGTTGTCACCCCCTCGGCAGAAGAGCAGTCAGGAATTGTCTCCCCTCCAGAACGGTGAGATCTCTCTGGCTGTAGCAGACTTGAGAGTCTGTGTAGTGTGTTGTGGTTTCAGTCTCACACGACCTTCGGAGATGCATTTTATGTGGAAAATTTTTAATCTCTGTACTTAGGCACATTGGCCCTGTAGCTGGAATATCCTACTTCTGCACCCAGATATGCATTTCTTCTCTTTCTATGCTTGTTGCTAGATTGCCTTTAGACTTTTTGTCCCCTGCAGTTCTCCATCTACTGTCTGCTGTCCTGACAGTGGCAATCCAAACTGGCGTTTCTATTTTGTACTGGTTTTGATTGTCACTTCTGTATGATTTGCTGTAGCAATATGTCTGTGATGTACAGTACATCATCTCAGATTTCCATCTGGTGATGAGGTAATTCAAACTCCATCACCTTTAATAGTGGGACCACTGAAGACTGGAAATTCAGTGCCTCTGCAGCATGGGCTGCAGACAAACCAGGATGTCTGAAGGCTGCGTATTCTTGCTTTGAGCCAGTCTTCCCAGCAGAAGTTTTCTAAAAGCTTTGGGAGCAGGATTCCATTGGATTTAAATTAATAGACAGGAAGTGGCTGAAGAAGTTTTGGGTGAAATTATGTGGTGCCAGATAACCGGATTAACTCAGACTTGTGTCAGTATCCATAGGCTTCAGGAGTTTTATAGATTGGTAGCTCAATTCTGGTTATTGGGAGGAAGAAAGTTCATTAGGGGTGATTAGGAAAGGTATTTCTCATTTAAACCTAATGAAGTGAGCAGAAGGGAGGACCCTTTGTGACTCACAATTAGCTGTTTCTTCCTGCAACTGTCACTGTAACCACATGCATCTTACTGAATGTGCTACACCCCTGTAACCCTCTGTGGCTGAGAGGCAGATAATGAAGTCTGTGGCTGGCTTGATGGTTACTGACAGGAACTAGGGCACAGTAGTGGGGTTTTGTGCCTTCCCTCCTCCTTTTCCCCTCCCTTTCAGCTGTGTTGCTTTGCAAGTCTTTTCCAAGTCAGAAAATTAACCTGAAAGTCCTTTTGATTTAAGGAGTTGGCATGACAATTGAAAGTTCATATCTAGTTCAAGCTTTTGGTGGTCACCTGCGCTGCAAGGAGACACATATAAGGAAGATTTGAACTAAAGGTAGCTTCCTGCAAAGAACATCTGGCTTCAGTCCCATTGAGAACTGGCAGATGTTGTCTATCATTTGCAACAAGAACAGAAAATGATATTCCTAGACTTTGCTATAGTTTAACTGTGTGAGAAATATACTGTTACTCTTTAAAGACTGTTAAGGATACTAAAAGGTTCAACAAAAGTTAAACTTATTGAATGTTTCTATATGAAAAAAATATTCTTAAAACAGATTTATAAGTAAATTTTTAAATGTCATGCTCTGCTCGAGAGGCAAAAGCTAAAGCTTGGGAATGAATGGGCTATTTGGTGTATAAAGCATGGAAAATCTGGTTTTGATCACAAAATCCAACTTGGATTTAACATGTAGCAGCTGACAGTGCTGTAACGTACTTGGTCATGTGTGTGTGGTGTGTTATCGGTTTGCTAATGATGACCACAAAAAATACCTAACTACTTCTGTTGGCCAGAGTGCTTCCCCTTTCTTAGGGGCTGAGTAAATAGGTAGTTTATTATTATACCCATCTTATATTATTTTATTATTCTAGAAGTTTTGTTACCAACCCAGTATAAATACCAGAACTAAAACACAAGCTTACAGTTTATTAGGTAAGGTAACTGGATTTTGGAAAATGGAGGACTAGCTAAGAAGTAGTGTTTGATCTGTCAGCTAAAAAATTCAAAACAATTTATCTTCTTCTCTCTGACTTCTCTCTCAGTCTCTAATTAAGTCATGTAAATGTAAGACTATTTGCAATAGGAAATATTAAACCTGGTGAGTTCTTGGAGCAGGATCTTGCATAGAGTGATTTTGATCAGTAAGATAACAGCACTCAGGCTAGATGTTACAATTCAAGTTCCTGCTTGATTATTACTAGCCTGATACAGTAAATTCACTGTTAGTGTCCTTGATGAGGATCACATATCTCCTTCCTTAGTGTTCCTTTATTTCTTGTTTGTAGTGTTTACAGCCATTTCTCAGTCTCCTGAAAACACTGAAAGAGAACCATGCAAGGAAAGGAGCTCACCTTCCTCCCTCAGAACTCAGAGCACAACAGAGGAAAGCTGTCTCATCTCTCGAAGGCAACCAGTTCCTCCTGCAGACAGAGACTTGGAGAGTTCCCATGAGAAAATCAGTCTGCCCTGCCCAAGTGACACTAGGAAAAACAGCACAGCTGAAGAGTTACTTCAAAATGGTGATCTGCTGGGACAGATAGCTGAGCTCACACGGCAGAACTCTCTAATTAAAGCTCAACTGAGCAAATTCAGAGGCCTCTCTGAAGACACAAGTGACTGTCTACATCAGGCAGACCTAATACGAAATGCAGATCCTAGTCTGGACTCTTCACAAGGACAGGTGAGAATTTAACAGAAAAGGGAGGCTGGATTCTGCTTTCTGCTGATCTGCTTTCCCATAGCTTACTGATGCTTTAAGACTGCTTATTCCCTCTTGTCAGTTGTTTTAAGGAAAAGAGTAGAAAAAAAAATACTCTTTTTCATTCATTTGCTTGGAGTCTTTGATTTCTGTAATTCCCTAAGGAGCTCAACAGGAGTTTCTCATATTGGGATGATGTTCTATATGGGTCCTGAAAAGCCCCAGGTGTGCAGCACACTTAAAAGCTTAGGTTAAGGTTATGCTGCAAAAAGAGAGGTGTGATTGCAACATGATCAAGCATATCTCTTGTAGCTTGAGTAATATTAACAGTGAGAGCACTGCACCAATGCACAGGTTCTTGTCAAGCTTGTAAAACACATATTTAAATACATGCCATACATCTCTTCTGTTACTGTGACCCAAAAGCCCAGGAGATTAAAGTTGGTGCAAGTACATCTCTTGCAAATATGTGGCTAGGGTGTATGTACTTGTTGAATCTGTCTTGTGTGTCCTGCTGTGTGGTGCAAATCCCAAAACCTTTGGGAAAAAGAGAGCTCGAATGCTTCAGTTCACATAGAAAACCTTTAATCTGCAACTGAGCAGCTATTCAGTGGCACCACAGTGAGTGAACATCACAGAAATGCCCAATCCCCGCCCTTGCTACTGTCTTTACTGTTGTTCTGTCACAGTGTCTGAATTACTGTTCAATTAAGGATCCTAAAGATTTTAGATTTCCTCATGTAAATGTAGGCTGAGAGTGGTGTCACTTTCCACACTGTATTATGTTGTGGAACATTTAGTCATTTAGTGGTACAAGATGATGCAAACTTTTTAAAGTGTTGTTTTTGTAGAAGCAATTACTGGAGGGAAAGGGAAAGGGCTCAAGGTGGATGAAAACCTGGTTTAAAGATGAGTTCCAGAATCCTTCTGCTAGAAATATGTTTTTGCTTCCCCACACCATCCTGAATATGTGTCTCTCTGATTAAATATTTTCTTAATTATGGTTAATTGCTGGATGATTGGGGGTTTTCTTTTTTAATGATACAGACAGTAGCTGTGTTTTCCTATTTGTAGGAAGACCAATTTAAAATATTGTTGTGTTTAGTCAATTAGGGACTTAGATACAGGACACTGAAAGGGACAAAATCACATTTTTCACAGGGGTTGCTATGTCATTATGTTTACTTTCAGTTTGAAAACTAAATGAATAGAAATATTTGAAATATATTGCGTGCTCTCCCTGAGGGTGCAAATTGTAAGTTTTTAATTGGAAGCAATTATCCAAGTAGACTCATCTCATGGTATCGAAGAGCTTGGAGGAAAGAATAGCAGAGCTGAATCGTCAGAGTACAGAAGCACGAGATAAACTCTTGCAGCTAATAGACCAGCAGAAATTAGCTGCTGCCGATATGGTCCCGCCATCGATATCTCCTGTTCTGCCCCCTTCCCTAAATTATACTGGTAAGTACCCTGCTTCAGGAGAAACAAAAACTAGTAAGACAATGTTTTTCCCCTTTTGGGAGTTCTGTGTCCTTATCTGTTTGGATCAGTGGTTGTGGTCAGCAGTACACTTGCTGTTAATGACTGTGTGGTACAAACACTCCTTACTTTAGAGAGCTGAAAATATATCAGCTAAACTTCTCCTAAAGTTAGTTTCTTAGTAATTAGTCAGCTGCAAATATCATGCTTCATGGTAAAACTGTTCTTTGTTATGTCCTGGTGCAGAACAGTTCGCTACACAGTCGCTCATGGGCAGAATTAGGCTTTTTAATCAGTCCTCTCTGCTGGAGAATTTTTTATAAAGAGATTAAGTATTTACATCGGGCTTCTAGAAGTCATGGCAGAGTGGTTATCCAATTCTCAGCCACATTTTAGTTTTTGTACTTCTGGGTGCTCTTTCACTCAGACTTCCTTGCTGAGTTACTGCCAGTGCTAACTGAAAGAAATAACTGAAACTTCCAGTCGTCTGAAGAGATAAATTAGTGAAGGGAACATTCTTGCTGATTCGAGATCCATAGGTTAGCTGCCATGTGTAACTATGAACAAAAATCCTCTCCAGCAGGTGAATGCTGCTTTATCTTTTCATGGAATTGCTGCAATTACAGACAGAACTGCATGTGAGCAGGTACACATGCTCTGTCCAGGACACCTGCCCTTTTCCCCTTGCTGAACCACAGAAGATGTATAAAGGGAAGGACTTGAGAGGAAGGAGGAGGAGGAGGGACCGTGTGCGTGCAGGCACATATACAATGACTCATGCAGTGGGATCATAACACTTTTAACACTTCTGTGGCTGTTGTAACATAAATTCAACATGAAAAGTAAAGTCTTGAACAGAGTAGAGAAATCGGAAGTCTCTAAGCCTCTGATTACCAAAAGCCAGAGAAAAAAATCATTCTATATCTGTGCACATTGTCCATAGTTGCTCTTGAGTATCTGCTTTCAGTATCTGTCATTTCAGAGAGTGGGTATGGGGTTGATGTTTAGCCTGATGTTTTATGTTTGCTCTGTATATTCTGTGGAATTGTAGAGAGTTATGTTATGCCCTTCAAAAATGGGAAAATGAAATGAATGTTGTGCAATGTTGCTGTGATGTCATCAGAATCAAGCTATTATTTATTGCCTAGAAAATGCAAGGAGGAAGATTGAAGTGTCTATTCCTGTGGCAGTTGCTACAGACGGCTCCAAAGAAGATAGTGTCTCCCCTGCCAGTATGACGAGTATAAGAAGGTAAAAGTTAACCCTTTACTATTTTATTTTTGTAGTGTCTTGATTGCCCATGCAGCAGAACTGGAACACAATGGAAAAGTTGCCAGGTTTTTCTCTGGCTTCACAGACTTTCTCTGACTTCATCATGCTCAACTCTATGGAAATGGGACAAAGGTCCACAAGCTTTTTCACAGCTTCCATTGCTTGTATTTAAAATACCTGCAATGTAACATAAGATAGATGACGTGGCTGTTGATGACTATTGATGAGGGGTCCAAACTCAGGATCTGAGACATGATTCTAGTAATTTCCATTTTTCACTTTTACAATCTTACTTTGCATGTCTACAGGTCTGTAGGAGACTCTAGCAAATCTTGTTCACCCTTAAGTGCCACATCAGAAAGTGTGAAATTAACTTCTCTCAGCCAAAGGCCAAAGGTAAGACTGAAAAATCTACAGCCAGAAAGTTTGAGTGTGGTGTCATATAAGGAAAAAGCAAGGCAGGTAAAGAAGGGGAGAGAGCTCTGTCCTACCTTAAATCTACCAAAGCTGACAGCAATCGCTTCATGGCAGTTGGGATTCTGGACAGTTGGTAGGGGGAGACCTGAGTGCTATTGACATTAATTGTTTGCTGCTACAGAGCTTTTAATTACAAGTGAATAATCCTGTGTGCGCTTTTTCTGCTGTGGCATCTTCATGTGTTAGAACAGGGAACCTCTGTCAGTTTTTCACTGGTGGCTCCAGAGAATTTCCAGGACCCATTACAATATACTGGTAGAGCCACACTTAAGAGGCAAGCGAGCTCTTACCTAGCTGTTGCACAAGTCAGTCGCTGAAGGAGAAATAAATCCAAATGCAAAGAAAAATCCCCAAACTAGATTTCTGATTCCTGATGTCCAAAGAGAAGAATAGAGTACAGCAAGATGCTTTCAGGGGAACTCCAGGCAGTAGGGCAGTGTGGTAAACCAGTCACAGATCTGTGTGTATGCTTGAAAGCAATGATAAGGAGATGCTGTCTTTCCCGATGTCCAAAATAACCTAAATTAGGGGTGATGAAGAGAAACAAAGTTAGGGTCCAAGTCTCCCTATCCTGACAGCAAAGTATACATCTCCAGGGTGGAAATTTGGAATACTTAGGGTAGATGTGGCTTAAACTGGGTGTGTAAAGTAAGTAGTGTGACTATCTCCGTGGTGCCAATGGAATTGCTACACATTTTGTAGCAATCCTGCACAAGACGGCACTAACTAGCAAGTCTGTGGGAAATTGATGATGTATGAATTTCAATTGGTTTCTTCTTTTGCAGGTGGAAAAGCAAAAAGAAGAAGGCTGGTTTGCATTGTCAATGCACATTATGTAAAGGAAACTCCACTCAAGTATTTTTTTAATTTTATTTTTTTTTTTACAAACCACAATTAAATCACAGTAGCCCCCATCTCCAGATGTACAGTTTAACCCTGAAGTGCTTACATGTAAGTGCCATTAAGTATAAAAAAGATCCACATGCTTATTGTATTTGTGCCGTACAGAGCACTATAGGAAGTCCTGGGAATGAGTTTCTGAACTGGATGCACTGCTGTGACATTACCCCATTTCACTAAATAAATCTTTCACAAGACTGTAAACTGAGGCTGCTGTAGCAGTGCAAATGAGCATCTGATATCTGTGCCTGATATGCTGAAGGCAGGAGGTTTTAGAACATGCATGTGAAGCTTTCTGGAGGATGTATTCACTCTCGAGATGGGAATGAAAAAATCAAGAAAAACTGAGATGAGGGAATGCACCTCTGTTCAGAAGTAACCTGGAGGTTAGGAAGCCAGTTTACTCCTGCTGGGTAAGAATTTGCATCAGAAATAATTTGTTCCTTCTGTGGTTTACAGTTGCTCCCAAAAGTTCTGTTTTCTGTGCAGTTAGCATATCAGGGATTACATCTGGACTTAAGGATTGCTTTTTAAAAATCTCATTTAATATTTGAATAGTAAATATAAAGTGACTGTTTGAAGTGGAAATCAGAATCTCCGTTTGCCGTGTAAAGTTTGCTCTCTTTGATACAATAGAAGACTGTGATACGAGTTGTATTAAGCTGTTTTGTTACATGTGTATATAACACTCTAATGACCATGTTTTTATATTGTTTCTATTTAACTTTTTAAAGTAGCCATCATTTTATTATTATTGATTAACAATAAAATCTGGGACTGTGAGGGAATGCTTATGTGTTCCTTACATTGTAGTAAACCTGGGCAAAAACTTTTATAATGGAAATAAAAAAATAAAAAAAAATCTGCAAGTCTGTAGAAGAAAATATCTGCAAGTCTCAAAACCAGATTTTGAGTAAAATTGTTTTAATATTTTTCTTTTCTTAACTGTTCAATTTGTCCCTAAAGATATTGATGGGGTGGGGCATTAAAAGGGGCCAGACAATATCCTTTCAATCGGTTCAGTTTTGGGAGAATGCGGAAAAAATACTTCTCTTCTTTTTCTTTTTTTTTTTTTTTTAAGTAGGGGTTGTTTTTTTTTAAGCAGATTTAGAAAATCTAAAAAATGTGGGATTCAGAAGAAGACCTGTGCAAATATTCATAGACATTTCTGCAATTTATTTTTCCAGTGTTAACTTTGGGAAGTGAAGAAGGCTATTAGACCTGTATTTTGTGAAGTAACTGTTAAAATTACTTGGAAGAGGTCCCCCAACTCATGCAGAGGCAGGAATGTCAGGGCTGGGATGGACTACATAACCACAGTGCCCACACATTCCTACTGTGGCTTCTGACTTCTCCAAGCTAATGGCTGCTACAAATGCTCTGTAACATCTGAGATCTCCTTTTAGAATAGAGGGTTGGAATTAATCTTTTGAGTCATCACCTGGTTTCCTTCACTTGGCAGCTGTTCTATCACATAACTGCTTGTTTGTAAGCTGAGTCATCTAGCTGTATTCCAGTCTGAAGACACCGGGTGAGATGAGATAGATATACTGCTGCTTTTCCTTTGCATTGTTAATGAAATCTGAGTCTCCTTGAGATCAGTAGAACTCAGGTTCAGGAGAACTGCAGAGTCAGGACTAGTGAGGGACCTGGTGCCCCTTAAAACAGTGTCTGTGCTGCAAAGCATCCAGCTTCTGGCCATCTGAAGCAGTAGGACCATGCAGAGGTCCAGCTGGGTTCCCGAAAGCCAGATAGCCGCATGAGCGGAGCAGCACACTCCCAGGAATAACTCTTTTTCCTCTGCACAGTTAACTAGCTCGGTGCCACCTCGCACTGCTGTGGCTGGTCTGGTGCCAGAGCTGGCTTTCAGCATGGTCTAAGTGCTCTGTGCTCATCTGGGAAGGCAGGAACATACTACCAGGTGTCTCTAGTCACCCTCCTATGTCCCACCTCTGATTTTTTTTCATATCAGGTGAAGAAGAAAGTTTTAGGGCTTCATTTGATCTTTAGTTTTCAATTGTGTTAAATCATAGAAAGGCTGGTATCATCTAGTCCCAGGGCTCTGTCAGTGCAGTGTGTTTTATTGCCAATGACTTTCTGACTTTGCATGCTAAACATTTTACTGCCTTGCTTCCTTTTTTTCCAGGCCTTTCATGTTCTTCCTTTTTATCTTAAATGTCAGCAGAAGGACATCTGGTAAACACAGTAGTAAAGAGCAGGTACAGAGAGGAGCTGCAGCCTTTGTTTTCTCTCGTCCTCTTCTTTTATCAGGTGTACCACATAGGAATTGATTTCCCTTTGAAAATGTTTCCCTTGGACAGCATGGGAAAGTTTCCTATACGCATTCTGATTACAAAATTCTAAACTAAAAACTTCATTGCAAAGAGTGATTTCATTTTACTTTTGGAAATGGGAAAACTCAGGGTTTTTCTTGGATTTTTTATTGTTTCCTCTTTCAGAGTCATTAATTCTTTTGCAGTTAGGTGAAGGAGACTGTGCAATATGTTGCCTTGTTTGGGTTTTATTTTGGTTTTGAAATATTTAGTAGTTGATAAGTAGCTGAAAGATGAAGTCTAAAACCAGATATTTTTATTTTTAAGCTTACACTCGCTTACTTGTTTTAGTTTCTAGAAGGAAACTGAAAATTCTGTGGGACTGATGTTTTAATTTTTGTTTTACATTAGGGTTTAGGAGGACATACAAAGTCCATAAGCACTTCTTAAAACAGAAAAGTCCAAATGAGAGCATTTCCCTCTGAAACCTTTATCTATTCAGAATTGCCAACTCCATTAAGGCGGCAACCTGGCACTGGTGATTCACATTGTCTAGGTTGGGCGTTACGATGACCAGCCCTAATGATAATGATGTAGCCCTGCAGGTCTGAGGTGATGGGGACCGTTGGTGATGTGCCTCAGCCTTTTTAACTGTGGAAACAAGAGGTGTCTCTTACAGCCTGAAGAACCTCTGTGATCACAACACAGAGGGAAGTCTGCTAGGACACAATAAGGTATGATTTAAGGATGCTTTTAGAGCGCTTATTCCAAAAGGGAGAGGAAGGTGCAGAGCTCTATAGGTCCAGAATGTTGCAATATTTTACTACTGTGAGATGCTTCATCAGCTTAAGGCATTAATAAAAAATTGCTTTTTTATTTATCATAGCTTTTTTCAATACTTTTTCTAAGGCTGAAATTTTTATATAGTGCAATGACTTGAAATGTGTGAGGCTAATTCAACTCCATGGTATCAGAGAGACTTGCTTTTGCTAGGCTTTGGGATGTTTTTATCTGTGACTTAATTCTCTAAGAATGCAAAATGTAAGGAGTTTTACATAATAAAGGAAACTTCGGACACAGTTTTAGAGATGCTTTTCCTGAGAGCTGGAAATACAGTGTCTGAATATTCAGATCAAAGCAACATACATATGTGTGACACGTGTTGCTTTGCAGTGTCTGTAGGGTAAGGGACCCTAAATGTGGAATGAGATAAACAGAACAAATCTGAATACAGAGAGGGGAAAAAAACCCCACCCCAAAATGGTATTGTAGAGAAAACAAGGATGTGTGGGTTGGCTGGGAGGCACGCAGCTGCCACAGTCCCAGCTTTGTTGGTTTGGAATTGCAGTCGTGTGCCAGAACAGTCTCCCTGGGAAGAGGCATGGGAATGATTTTTCACATGTTAAAGATGTCCCGTTGCATGATGTACATTTAGTATTTTACATGTTTGTTATCTAGAGAACCTGAGATCTCCACAAAAGCTTTCTTACTGTTTTTTCTAGCTAGGGACACTGAGGCACAGAGCAAGCTGTGGAAAATTCCACATTTTCTATTCTCAGCACAGCACTGCCTCACCCTTGGGCTGATCTCAGAGATACGGTGCCCCTGCACTGTGAAAGACGTGTATCTGAGTGGGTGCAAGACCAAGGGGTCCTGGATCGCTCTGCTTTTCAGAAGCAAAAGTTCTGATCAAGGAAATCCTCATGGTATTTATGTTTCTGCTGTTTAGGTGAGCACACTCCATCCTGACAGCTGTCTTGTACGTGGTCCTGTCCCATGTCAGGATTCACAAGCCTCCTGTTCTTTTATCTTCCCTTCTGTGACACTTGAACACAGGGGTACTAATAGGGGGGTCTTTGTATAATGTGGAAGAGGAACACAGAAGTCTCTGAAGATAATTTTTTTCCCATGCTAATGGTTGGATAGAAATATTAATTTATATATATATATATATTCCTTGTATTTCAGTTCTCAGTGCATTGCCTCAGGAGTGTTTCTTCTGAGCCCAGAAAACAGAGGTGATTCTCACCCTTCACTTCAAACCCACCAGTTCTCCAGATGAGGAGTAAGAAGGTGCGGGGTGGGCAGGAGAAGGCAGCGCACAGAACGAGTGCCTGACTGCAGATTACAGCAGAGCCACTTCTGACTCACCATAGCCTCCATTTGCTGGGGAGAAGTGGACCTCCAGCTCTGGGTGGGGTGGAGCTGAACTGAAGAGCTGCCAGGGCCAGGAGTACAGTTACTTCATGGTTACTAACAGTTAGTCACAAGCTCCAGTCTAGCCTCATCTTCTTGAGAACTGCTGAGTGTAACTGAGATGGCACCAAGGAGGAAAAGGGCGAGTGTCTCTTTTCAGCCCAGTGAGCTTGCCAGGCATAGTTTCAGCAGAAGCTTAAAAAAAAGCAGAAAGACCCTTGTGTCTGCGAGTGCCCATCTGTCTCCTCTGGACTCCCCTGTGCAGCACCTGGGTGAGTTTCTGAGGTAGGAATAGGGAGTGAGGTGCTTAGGAAGAACCATTGTGGAGTACAGAGGTGAGCCAAGGCAGCCTAAATTCTTGCTGGGACACCTGATTAAAAACATAATACTCATCTTCCTTCCCATTTTTATTTTTTTTTCCTCCCCAATTCTTCAGGTCTCAATAGCAACAGAGTGAGGAAAACAGAGTT